ATTGGAGCATAGTCTCCTGGTGAAATTGTTATGTACATTTGTGTGTCATCTGCATAGCTATGGTAACTTATTTTGTTGTTTTTCATTATCTGAGCCAGTGGTAGCATGTATATGTTAAAGAGAAGAGGCCCCAAGATGGAGCCTTGAGGAACCCCACATGTCATATTTGTCAACTCAGATGTGTATTTACCTATAGAAACAAAGTTGTTTCTGTCCTTTAAGTAGGATTCAAACCAATTTAGAACTGTTTCCGAAAGTCCCACCCAGTTTTCCAGTCGGTCTAGTAATATGCTGTGGTCAACAGTATCAAACGCAGCACTGAGATCTAATAATACTAACACTGAAGTTCTGCCACTGTCTGTGTTTAAGTGGATGTCATTAAAGACCTTTACAAGAGCAGTCTCAGTGCTGTGGTTTGGACGAAAGCCTGACTGGAACACATCAAAACAGTTATTTAAATGCAAGAAATTACTCAACTGTTGAAAAACAACTTTTTCAATGATTTTACCTAGAAATGGGAGGTTTGATATGGGCCTGTAATTGTTCATTACTGAAGCATCTAGATTATTCTTTTTTAAGAGCGGTTTAATGACTGCAGTTTTCAGGGCCTGTGGAAAAATACCTGAGTGAAGAGACTTGTTTACTATATGAAGTAGATCTGAGGCCATGCAAGGCAAAACATCTTTAAAAAATCCTGTTGGAATAATATCAAGGCAGCAGGAGGAGGATTTCAGAAGTTGTATAATGTCCTCTAGGTTTTTATCATTAATCTGATGGAATTGTGTCATGGTGTTTGAATTGATGTTAAGTGGAGATAGGGACAACACATTCGCTGTTCCTGATGCAGAGGCACTGACTGCTTGTCTGATTTTCTGAATTTTGTCAGTGAAAAAGGAGGCAAAATCATTGCACGCCCTGGTGGATAGAAATTCAGAGGCTACTGACACTGGGGGGTTAGTTAGTCTGTCGACGGTAGCAAACAAGGCACGTGTGTTGTTTTTGTTTTTGGTAATGATGTCAAAGAAGAACGATTGTCGTGCGTTTTTCAATTCCAAATTATAAAGGCCAAGTCTCTCTTTATAGATTTCAAAGTTAACCTGGAGATTTGTTTTTCGCCACCTGCGTTCAGCTTTTCGACATTCTCTTTTTTCTGTTTTCACGGTCATGGCCTTTCTCCATGGAGATATTTTCTTCCCAGTCACTTCCTTTACCTTAGTTGGAGCAATGGCATCTATAACATTTTTAATTTTTTAATTAAAATGATCTACTAGCTCATTTACTGAGATGTTAGCAGGGGCAAGTGTGGAAGAAAAATTCTGAGTAAACATTTCCCTAGTATTTTCAGTTAAACATCGCTTTGTGGTTACCTCTTTTTGAACATTTTTGTGAACAGAAATAGAGCTCTCAAAGAAAACACAGGAATGGTCAGAGAGTGCAACATCAGTCACCACTACCTTAGAGATATTCAGACCCTTTGAGATAATTAAGTCCAGAGTGTGCCCCTTATTGTGCGTGGGCTCCGTCACATGCTGAGTCAGTCCATAGCTATCAAGAACACAAAACAGTTCTTTAGCCCCTCTGTCCTGGGGGTTGTCAACATGGATGTTAAAATCACCAACAATGACTAGACGGTCAAAGTCAATACACACTATAGACAGCAGTTCAGTAAAGTCATCAAAAAAGCTTGCACAGTATTTGGGTGGTCTATAGATATTTAGGAACAGAGCTCGAGAGGAGCATTTCAGCTGAAGGGCCACATATTCAAAAGAATCAAAGTTTCCATACGATGTCTTCCTGCATTGAAGGGAATCATTGAACAGAATAGCAACTCCACCCCCTTTCTTATGCATTCTTTTCTGACTCATAAAACTAAAGTTGGGAGGGGTTGATTCGATAAGAACAGCTGCACTGTTATTTTGTTCAATCCAAGTTTCTGTTAAAAACATAAAATCGAGATTGTGCTCGGTGATAAAATCATTGATTAAAAATGTTTTTCCTGCCAAAGACCTGACATTTAATAAAGCTAGTTTAAGTTTGTTAAACACACCATCAGTCATGTTTTTTGTAACAAGCTGTGGCTGACATGGAATCAATGCTAAATTAGATAAACTCACACAAACGTTTGAGCGCTTCCTGTATCTAAGATGATTCACCGCTCTTAATCTATTACCTATCAACACAGATATCGGCAAAGCTATAGGCAGGCAGGGCCCCGGCATGTCCTGGAAAGAGTTGAGAGTGCCATACGCCCTTGAGCCTGGACCCAGCAAATATCAGTTTGCAGCGTTTAGTACACACACATCCTTATCAGGCTTCGGAGACTGCAGATGCCCTCTCGAAGGGAGGGGAGGCGGCCGACGCAGGCACGGTGATGGAGACGTGGGAGATGGTGCGGGGGTAGAGGACATGCTGCCTGGGGGGGAGGTGGTTGACGTAGGCACGGTGATGAAGACGGGGGAGATGGTGCGCGTCTCCGCGGTGATTTTGGTGGGCGTCGTTGAGGAGCGGGGGTAAAGGACATGGTGCCAGCCCTGCGTATCGCCTTAGTTTGGTCTTTGAACTCCAGGAAGGAATCAGTGCCAACCCTCTGTATCTCCTTCATGTGTCCAACGATCCCCAGGAGGGTGGGCAAGGGTGAAAGGGTGAACGGAGTATCCTCAAAGGCGTTGACAGGGGGGGGGTTGACGGGCAGTGGAGACTCCTCCATGTGTCTCCCATAATCAGAACATTCCTCAGTCGGGTGCAGTGATAATTCTTCAGGGTTTTCTGCGCAATGTGTTGTGTCTTTCTCCTGTTTTGATTCCTCTTGCCGCTTGTCCTTGGCAGAGGGAACAGATTGATAACGCAGGCAGTTGAATATGCTAGAGATAAACAATTTCACTCCTGACTTGTTCAGACAAACTCCATTTGCCTTGAAAAGATGTCTGCGGTCCCAGAAAAAGTTAAAATTGTCAATAAAATGAACAGAATGGTCAGTACAGACAGTTGAAAGCCAGGTATTCAGTGCAAACAATCTGCTGAATCTCTCCACTCCTCTTCTGACTGGCGGTAGAGGGCCACTGATGAAAGGAGTAATTCAAGCCGACTGCCAGGGAAGAGGTTGTCCTAATGCAACTCTGCTGCCATAAATATCAACAAGTGCTCTGAAGTCGTGTTTTAGCTCTGTTTAAAACTAGCTTACATACAAACGGGTTCAACTTAGGCAAAAACAACCTTAAAAGGTTCATAAATCTTGTGCAACTTTTCAAAGAGGTGCATACTGTATATTTCATGTGAGCGGTTGTGAGGAGATGTAGTGTTGCAGTTGAAGACTGTTGGAAGGGAAGGCAGTTGTGTTTTTCGGCTGCCAGGAGATTGACAAAACCGTATAAGTTGGAGAGAAACAGAGAGATGAAGATTGAGTGCCAGAGAGAGAGCAAAGGCATGCAAAGAAAGCTTTTGTTACCAGATACTGAGTGAGGAAAATAGATGAAGAGTCAGAGCTTCCACAGGAAGAGAGATGCAGAATGAAATTGAGATCAATACATACCTGCAGCAGAGTGTATTTCCGTCTTCGCACTGAGACTTAGTTTGGAATATCAATGGAGACTCAGCAGCAGAGATGCCAATGTGAGAAACAAAAAAGATGAGAGGGGAAGGGTCAACTGACACGGACGGATAAAAGAGAAGAGAGGCAGAAGGGGTCAGATGAGGGAAATTAACAACGGCATGGGGAGAAAAAGAACAATACACAACGGAAAGCTGACACACACGGGAGGACTGACAAAGAGAGAGATTGAAAGCCTGACAGGGAAAGTTGGACAAATGGAAGGATGGAAAAAGTGAGTAGCCCACCGGTGAGATGAGATATGAGGCGAGGCGTGAGATAAATAGTACAGTGGCTGGTGTCAAAGGAAAAACGCTGCAGTGACCAGAATGATATGAGGAGGGAGGAGCGAGGGTAGTCTTGAGACTAACTAACAGAGATTACAGGTATTGGTTTATAGAGATTGTTCCCTATAGAGCCAACCAATAAGGCGCCATTCGAGGAACTGCAGCGTTGGCATAGGTTATCCATATTTCAACATCAGGACTAAAACTAGATGATGTTGCCTTTACCGAGGCCAGTGTTGCATTCTTTGCTCCTTTGATAGTCCGTTTAACAGGTTCTGTTTCCGAGTTGTTGTCCACCTGTCAGAAATTACATTTTCTGATTATTCAGATGCCACATGAATGCAGCACACATGCGTAGTGTAGTCAGTTCAGTTATTGATAGTTGACATGTTTCATGTCCAATATTTGGTCTTTTTGAACATAATGTTTTGGTCACATAACTAAGGAAAAGGCACATTTTGTATTATAAAATGAATGATGGTTGGATTCCATTTAGCTTTTTCTTCAGTTTCCTTGCGTTGAGTTCATGTCTCTGACTTTAAGCAGTGAGAAACTCTGATCAATGAAAATGTTTAAATAATCATATGGCCTGCCTAAAAAACAAACATATAGAAGCTTAAAATCACATTGAAACTCTGCCATCCATGTTATTAGAGACACCTGTGTTTTTCCTATTCTCAATATTATCTTTGAGAAAAAACCTGTTGGAAAGCTTCCCATTTTTCACTCAATGTTTAATAGATTGAGATCAATTAGATTTAAACATAAATGGGTAACTGATGAGAGCAGATGGCCGCACATGCTATGCAGGTTATTAGTGTAAAATACAGAGATAAGATGCCATTAAACATGTATTTAATTAGGTACTCATCAATCTGTCTAAGTCTCTTCTCCTTCACCAAGAGCATGCTGTGCAACTCTCCAGCTCAGCGGGAGAGAAACATTGTGCTCAACTCGCTCCACTAACTTGACTTTTTATTTTCACCAAGCTCTGCATCTCATTGACTGCTTCAGCTGGACTCGTGTGCTAGGCACTCATGTGTTCATCTTAATATTCTAACATAATCTTATTTGTGTCCCACCTCTCTCTTCTTCCGGCTCTCTCTCTCTCTGGCCCTGTTCCTCAGGTGGAGCTGGAGAGAGGAAAGATCCTGCACATCAAGGCCCTCGCTCTGGGGGACCTGAACAAGGCGGGCCAGAGGGAAGTCTTCTTTGAACTGAACGGACAGCTGAGATCTGTGCTGGTGAAAGACACTGTCGCCATGAAGGTACACAGAGGGGGGGGGGGGCATAGGTTGTTGGCTGGATAAATGATGGATGAGGTAGAGATGGGATATGTATCTCTGCAGGTGAATAATAAATGGATGGAAAAGGGAGAAGTGAAAGAAATGATATCCTCTACTAGAATCCTGTTTTTATTCAGAGACCAATGAGCAGTGTAGAGGATGCAGAGCACAGAGGTCTGTTCCAATGTCCCGTTAGTCGTTGGCTGAATGACTGGACAGATGGATGCATGAAGTCTCTGTTTGTCCTCCACCCAGGAAATGAAGTTCCATCCCAAGGCTCAGAAGTCTATCAAGGGTCAGGTGGGAGCGCCCATGCCTGGAAAAGTGGTGGAGGTTAAAGTGGAAGTTGGATCCAAGGTGAGTCTATCATCACATCTGATGACTTTAACTCTACAAGTGCAGACAGTTTGCTTTTTATTCCATCTCCACCCTTAGTTGCTTATTTAAATCCTCATTGTGCTAAATCAAACTGTATTTTATGAAGGTCTTGTTATTGGTCACCTACTTATCCAACATTAAGAGAGTTTGGAATTAAAAAGAGGTTTTTATCTAGAATATATATTATATATAAATAACCTGTTTGTGTTTATATATCTAACACAAATATGTCTACTGGTTATCAGTACAGCTACAAAAGCTGCTCATAGTTGGTTTCCTCTCTTTGGACAGATGCTTTTTTATGTAAAAAAGCAAATCCCATATCCCATAATGTTAGTGAAAGTCTGATTTGAATCATAAACTGTCCGATCGATATATGTGCTGCAACTCGTGAATATTTTCATTATAATTTAGCCCATTATGTTCTAGGTTAATCATGTGGTCTATAAATGGTTTGTTAGTAGTAACACATTTCCACATCTTGTTAGTCCAAAACTTAAAGATATTGACTGATATGATATTAAACAGAACATGCAGGAAATCTCCATATTAGAGAGGCTGCTACTTTGAATGATTAATCACTTAAAGGGGACCTATCATGCAAAATGTGCTTTTGTACGTCTTTTATACATGAATATGTTTCTCCGGTGTGTCAGGGAACTCACCAAGTGTCAGAAAACACAACCCTCTCTATTTTCCTCCTTCGCCAAATCTCTAAAAAAGTGGCTGAAACGGATCTGAAAAAAACGGATCCAGATTTCAACACTTTCCTACGTCACAAAGAGACGTGCTCCGCTTATTGGTCAACTCTCCACCTATCAGGGGAATGAGCCACGGCCACGTGCATTGCCGGGATCAATACCAACCATCCGGGAGCAGGCCAGTGAGGACACATCCAATTTTGAAGCTGTAAGTTTTTATTTAGCGGTGTTTTTCCTGATAAAGCTATCTCTAGCTTGTAGTATGTAGCATGTAGCATGTAGCTTCGCCGTATCAATGTCGCCTCAAACCCAAATAGTAATCGGTTAGGTGTTTATATGTTTTTATAACATTTTATGTTGTACGCTCCGCAGTCTTTGCTTTGTCTTTTATTTTAATTATCAGGCATTTGCTAACATGTTCAGACATACTGCAGTAATGGCGATCTGTGTGAAGGCTGTAAAGCCACGCCCTAGCCGATAACACAAGTATTTATTCTCCTATTTATTAGTATTTTGTATCCTCTAAAATCATATTGAGTAAGTTATAATAACAAACGTAATCTTCTGTAGGTAAGTGCCGTTTTTTGCAGCGTTATATGTAAAAGCTTTTGTGATTGTAGTCTGTAAGAACGATCAGATCTGTAAGCTAAGCTACGCTACGCTAATGAGACATGCCGTTTTTTGCAGCGTTATATGTAAAAGCTTTTGTGTGTTTACTTGTTTGCGCACATGAATATAAATGGGGGTGTGTGAGGATACAACACTGTGTGTATGTATGTGAGGGGGGACACACACCACGAGTAAAACAGAACTAAAGCCCCGTTGGTATGTTGTTGTTGACAAGGCCTTACCTAGCAACAGGCTAATTAGTGGCTAGCACTCATTACAGTCAGTCTACTGAGCTCAGCCCCTCTCCAACATATCATCTGTATTGAGTCAGAAACACAGCATGCACGTTACGGTTCAAAACTAACTCAGATTGGAAAAGGCTAAGCAAAGAGCTTTGCTAAATAGAGAGTTTTAAGCCCCATCTTTTGGGATTTCAGACTATATTTATCCAAATAGTATTTTCTCATCCTGAATACTAAATTGAGATGATTTTGTTCTAACTATGTTTTCTTCTTTACAGGCCAGCACCTCACATACTTACTAATTAGTGACAATTTGTACATCCTTTGCTATTATTTACATTTTTTTTTTCTCATGGCGGAAATGAAAGACTGTACCTGGCAGCCCTGCACTACAATGAAAACGCTGAGCGTGCACAAGCCACTACATCCACTGGAAACCCTCTGTATAAACTGCAGTTCCCAAAGGCCAGGAAGGGAGAATGCAGAGCAAAACCAGTAAAGACTGACCCCGCATTCCGTAAGTGTTTAAAATATTTATTATACAACTATTTACAAATATAAAATTAGAAAGAACTTTCAGTTTTTTACATGCATATACTAATCTAAACCACATTTTTTGTTGTGCTTTTTTAAAAACATTGCACAGGCTACGTGGCCAACTTGATGGACCTCATCTTCGACCAAGTCTTTGTGGACCCTGCACCATTATGAGCGACCTGACAGGGACGAGGTCATCGCCGGGTATGCTACACGGTTCAATTTGGCTGCTGTCTGAACCCAACATCGACATTTTGCGGATCAGGAAACTCCTGCCTCCTTGAGGACAACGCAGGCCGGAATCACCACTCTGATCCTGCGTCCAAGGAAGCCCCAGCACCAGCTCACAAAGCTTCTGTAGGCTAGATACCTGTGACGCCTGAAATCATTAAAAAAAATATTTAGTGTAATTTATACAAAATACAAGTACATTTCGTTTTTTTTTATGGGTTCAAAGAACCGTTGATTTTGACAATAAAGTTCAGAGTTGATATCAAATGTGTCGTGATTATTCATGTTTGGATGGGTAAAGAATATTCTGATTTCAAAAGCATAAGGTTGTGTGTGGACTTTTTTTGTCGTACACATGGGTGTGTTATGCCATTGCTGTGTAATAATATATATATATATATAATAGTACATGTACAATGAAAGATTGCATAAAGCCATATACACCAGTATTTATTTCCATGAACAATATTAGCATTCGTTTTACAATTTCAGTCAAAAGAAACAAACCACTCACTGCTCTATTTGCCTCAACTGTAGTCCACCATGTTCAGCTCTGTAAATATTCAATGCATTCTGCAGGGAGAACACATTCAGGCACACAGGCTCCAATCCAGGATGGTCCACCATACAGGTTACAGAGTCCTCAAGTTCCTGAATCCGTCTTGACACCTAGTGTGATAAACATATTGAATGACATGTTAAAAATGCATTCTCTAAACAGACAACTTAGTGAAGCTATCAAAAATGTTACCTGTGGTATCTCCATGCAGCACACATTCTCCGTTCAGAAGGCATCGTGCCGCAATTTGCACATGTACACCTGTAGAAAGAAGTCAATAACTGAGCTTTTAAAAACACATGAAACTACACACACTGCTGACAACTGAGGTGTTGTTGGAGTTATACTTGTTATCACTCTAAGTTATTGAACTTTCCAACGGTTGTTGCACGATGTTGGAAGAAAAGGGGTGTAAACTATTCATAAACGCAATGAGGCCATTGTATATATGCTGAAAATATGAATGTCTCCCTTTATAAATATATATATGTATCGCTGTTTTTGCGTTACAAGCTCTAAGTTATAAACTGTACACATAGCATTCTTGCTAATTAGCCAAAATATAAACGGAATAAGTAGCAATCATCGTAACAGAGTAAAATAAATAGGAACAACAGCTTGTCAACTAACCATTTAGAAACGTCCTGCTGCAACCGAGATCTTTGCACCTCCACCAAAACCTCCGCTGCTTCAGGGTCAATCTCTGGATCAAATTGATAATACGCTTGAACACATGCATTGCTTTGAGATGACATGTTTATTCCACACTCGTAATCACAGAAAGCATGGTAACGTGACTCTCGCCGGCGCATGCCCCGCTCTTCTGCAGGGGGGGCGTGGTCAGCTGCTGCTCAGAATTTTCAAAGACAGGCTTGGAAAAGAGCGAAAATGAGCGAAACGAGGCATGGCTAAAAAATGATCTGTTTGGTATTTTGAAAAATAAAATGTATAAATATACCTTATATAGGTATGGTCATACACTATATCATTTAAATATAGCATGATAGGTCTCCTTTAAATTAACATTTTTGAACCAGGATTGCAGCTCTACTCCTATTTAAATGATCATTTCAATCTAGCTTGTGATGCTTACAACACTTCAAGATGAACTTTTAACACTTTAACTACATGCATGGATCAGCTTATTTCTTTGTACTTTTGGTGAACCTCACAGTAAATGGTATGGGTTGTATGTAAGCTAGTAGGCTAATATGCTAAAGTCCCACTTGCATATGTCATTCTAAAGTGTGTAGCCTTCATGTCCTAAGCTTGAGTCTGGTTTACCTCTGTCTACAGTGCAGTTCAGTGATCTGTGCATTGTCAAGTGTTCTTAATGCTCTGACCTGTGTTTGTGATAAGGTGGGAGAAGGGGCAGCCGCTGTGTGTCCTCTCTGCCATGAAGATGGAGACCGTGGTCAACTCCCCGTTAGCCGGCACCATCAAGGCGGTGCATGTCAGGGCCGACGCCTCCCTGGAGGGAGGCGACCTGATACTGGAGATTGAGGAATAGAGGGAGGTATGATCCTGGGAATGATGGGGGGGGGGGGGGGTAAAAACACTTATCTGTTGCACACAAGCTGCACACAGCGGATTGGTGTAAATAGATTATCTGATGAGGATTCCTTAATGAACTGTAGCACTAATCCAACTATATTATCTCTCAGGCGTGGTGATTAGGATCTCAGTACATCTCTTAATGTCCTGTCAACTTGTGGAGGAAAAACATATCTTAGAAAGACCTATATTTGAATTGTTATACATTCCATTACTTGCTAATCTCACTAGTCTTAAATGTGATGTACTACAAACCGAGCTGATCATGTGTAACACCAACAGGGTTCTAATATCTAATTGCAATTAAATGCCACAATTTCCATTTCTATGCTGTTGATGTTGCTTAATATATTCAAGTGTGTAGATGAAACTTTATATTAATGTTTTTCTTGGGTTAGGACAAGAACTATGTATGCTCGCCTTGGCATTACTGATCTCTGAGCGTCACATTAAGACTCACTGACTTTTGTAGGGTAAACATGTAATACTGTTCTTTAGAAAGACAATGAAGCACACATTTTACGGAAAATAAATACAAATATTAACACAATGAGAGAAGCACAACAGATCAAAGCACTGTTTCAGGGCCAGATGTTTAAACAGTGTTTTGCTCTGAGAAATAGTAGATGGTTTACTTTTGGAAAGATCTTCGCTGGTGATGGAAATGTTTCCCCATTCACACCTGTCTTTAAATCCCATGAAGCTGTCGGCCATTTTGGAGACAAGCTAACAGGATTAGTCATGTGATTTTGTTGAAGTATATCTAAAACCAATTGAGCTCTATCTGCTGGATTTTAAAAGTGTTAAATCACAGGCTGCTAAGGTAACTTTCTTTTAGGGTCTCTGATTTCAAAAAGCTTTCACAGCGCAGCTCGTCCATCTTTTAATAACCAGGAGAGATTATGGTGAACGGTCTTCTGACTGCAAGGGGATTTTAAGGCTAGGTGAAAATGGGATTACATGGTGGTGTAATGGAGGCGTGTGGTGGTATTTTCTGAGGCTCTGCTGATGGATTTTTAAATGAATTCTCTGTCAAATGATGTGAAATTAGCCGGACTAATAGCAGGCTCTGGAGACTACCAGTAGCAGCGCTCGGCTTTATATTTCTAATGTGTGTGTTTGCATAAATTAGTGTGGCTGTGTGCAAGCAAATTCACAAGTCAACCAGTCCTTAAAATAATGCACCTCCAGAATTAAAAACCTCTTAAAAGCAATTCAATATTCATAATAACACGCACTGATGCAAACATATTTGTACTAACACTCCCAGCCCTTCTGCTGCCTAGATACAAACAAACACACCTCTCAGTGGTGTTGCGCGGATGTCAAACATTACAGTTCCTGAATTTAACCGACAAGATTCAACCGATTCCACAAATGCCAGACTTCTCAATTATTTGGATGTCTTGAACCTGGAAGTGATCAATGCTAAATTGAATATTTCGCCACCCTGACCACCAGTGAAAGTAGATAAATAATTAGCTCACATAGTAATGACAGTAGGAAAGGAAGCGTCACATCTCCCTGTTATGCAGTGAACGAGCAGAAAAGATATGACAGCCTACTTTCCCCAAACATCAATACAGCTTTGATGGACTAATCAAAGCACACAATTAAAGTTGAACTGCTCCGGCATTTTTGCTCCATTGCCCCTGAGAATGAGACCCCCTTCTGAACTATGCATCTATACTAAGCAGTGACACTATGTAAGTACGACACTGAAACGTCTTCTCGCTCTCCCAAGCCCCCTGTACTCCTGGCTTTATCAATCTGTATTAACTACTGGGATTGTATGAAAGAGTGTTTTCAACCAGCTGTTGCAAAATAATGTTAAGTTCCCTCACTCGTCCATATATCCAACCACCTTTTCATCTCGTCTTCCTTCTCAACAGTGTAAATGTTCACGTGTCAGATGGTGGTTTCCTCTAATGCAATAATGTACTGAATCGCAGTGTTTCTCTGTCTTAGCCAGCTGTGATTGTGACAACCATGTTTCTGACAATGTATTGCTGTTATTGTCTGGGGTTAAAAAAAAGAATAAATGTGAGGGAAAAAAGCACATAACTGGAAATATTCTTTGTTTCAGAGAGAGATCCACGTCATTAAACTGTTTTAGATGTAAATTGTTGCAGAGAGTATGAAAAGAAGTGAAATGTATCTTTGCTTTCATTTGTTTTACTAGAGTAAACACATTCAGTTTAGCAGATGTGACTGCCTGGAGATACAAAATGTCTCCATTGAATTTCCCTCAAAATATTCATGACGGAGTTTTGAATTTCTTTACTTGATTATACTACTTGTGAATTTTACACTTTAGTTTATTCATTTCCATCTGCTGTAGCAGTTTCAATATTAGTCCTAGGGAAGACTTTAAGCTAAAATTAAAGATGTATCTGTTGTGTGTATTGCATTTTCTACACAGTGGGCAAAAGAAAGGCCGGCTTCTGGAAGGTTTCTAAGAACAAATGACTCCCTCACAACCTTGTATGATCAACTAATGGCTCATGCTAGCCGGAGTCAAATATGTCTCATTGCTCGAGTCCTGTAATTCATATCTCTTTCAGAATAATGTGTCCAACTAGTATTAATGATTGTATGAACAAATGTTGAAGTGAAAGTACCTTTGTCACAGACCAGGCACCCCATTTGGTTAACCCGTACAATTGTTTCACATTTACTACCATAATGCTACTGAGGTAGATGCTGGACTGTTGGAGCCAGTGTGATTTTATTTGACCTACGCATGTCGCATCCAACCTCCTCCATCCAACCTCCTCCATCCAACCTCCTCCATCCAACCTCCTCCATCCAACCTCCTCCATCCAACCTCCTCCATCCAACCTCCTTGCACATCAGAACTCAGTTGGTATCTGGGAAAGCACCCAACAAAGAAAATCCATCGAAACAACGTATACACTTAATGGCTGGACCATGACAATCATTTCTAGTATAGTGCAAAACAGAAAATGTGATATTCAAATTGGACATTTTCGTACTATACTTTGTCGGGTATTCTTGCATTTATTTAGCTTGTTTTTTTACGTACTCTGCTATGCGTTTTACGCATTTATTTGGCAGGTTTTTGACACATTTTAGACTTACTAATACTACATCTAGTTTTTTGCATATTTTCAGCACCATATACTTTGTAGTTTTATTTTTTTCTTGCATATTTTCAGCATCCTAAATTGTGTTTATGCAACAAACAAAAAAGCCACAGTATAGTACTGTATGTTGAAATTATGCCATAAAACGACGTATGTTGTAAATATGCAAAGAAAAACACATAGTATATTTTGTCGAAAATATGCGAAAAAAATCATAGTATGTCAAAGATATGAAAAAAAGCCATAGTATAGTATGTCGAAAATGTGCCTTAAAACAACATATGTTGGGGGAAAAACTCAATCTATTCTTCCATTATCAGAGTAGCACATGATAACAAAGACCCAACTGTAATTGCGTACATGACAGGGTGTATGATTAGCTAGAAGAGCATCAGGACTAACATGATGATTCAGCCTCTATGGAGATAGGCATATGACAGGCATGATCATTTCTGACGTGGGCCTCAGCTAATCGAAACATTATACTGCTCTGAACCGGTATTCCTGCATCTTGTGACTGTGTAACACCCTCGAAGATATTCTTCAGGTCCTGTGTGGATCTAGTCAAATGCATCACCGTCCTAAGCCATGTACGATATGCTTATCAACACTTTGTAAACTGCTAGACTGCAAGAGACCGGGGATAGAAACTGTTGATATGGTGCCAGGTTATAAGAATAGCTCTTTGTCATCATATTAAATTACAGGGGAAACAACGGATGTAACGACCCGCTTGTTATCTGACTTGAGTGACTGCTTTGATTAATAACGATATAATCACATTTGCATATGTGAATAGAGAAGATGACAGTCTGCCTGCTACTGTATGACCTTGATTGGTTTGCTGATTTCACCACAAATAAACATAATGGGGTCTTAATTCACAACATTCAACAGAGGATTTTAGCTGAGTGGAAACCTGCCTTTTTAAAAATTCTAATTGAGATTATCAAGGCTATTTCCACCAATCACCCAGCTGTCTTTCCTCAGTTTATGTACATTTGGTATAGGTTACATCTGCAACTGCCCATCTGTTCTATGCAAAATAATGCTTATGTTGGTACCCTTGCTTCAATAACTATTTAAAAGTCAAGTGAAACATTAAATCCAAGCATATATTTCCTGTTGCTTCACACGATGTCACGCTGTGTGCAAGATGCAGACTGTCAATGATTGGTGTGCATTAAACACAACAACTACAGAGTGTGAAGTCCTCTCTAATGAGGCCTCTCGTTTGTGTTTCACATGAATATTTATGCTGTAATAACTAGGACATAAATGGACAGCTACCTACTGTATTTACAAAAACAGATTAGTCCCATGGCAAAATATATTATATTTAGAGAACATTTATTGTAAAGTGACAGTCACTTGAGAAAAAGAAACAAAGAAAATCAATTATGTATCGTTAAAGCCTCACAAAAAAAGTGAAATGTATTTTTTTAGACATCCAGGTCTGCTATTGATTGATCTGTTGTTTTTTTTCTTTTTAATGATTACAGATACATCTAGATAATACAATTATTTCTCAATCAATTGTTAATCTGGGGTAAAATGTCACAAAAACATTTCCTAAAATGAAGTTGATGTCATCAAATTGCTCAATGTGTCCTACCCTTAATACTGTATATTCAGTACACTATTAGAAAATAAACATTTAACAATTGACTTATTTGGAGTACTGTTTGCAAAATAAACGTCTGCAACTATTTTAAATGACAGTCAACCAATGTATTATTTGAATTATCGTTGCAGTTAAAGTTACAGTGCGCGCTTCATATAATTGAGCGACAGAAATAGTCAGCCTCCAGCCAGCTCCTCTCTGGCCCCTTTCACACCAGCGCTTTTTCAGCTCCGGCTCGGAGCTGGAGCCTGAAAAGCGCCGGTTTTTCCTGTTCACACCGCAGCGGCGCCGGCTCTTAGATCCGGAATCCGGTTCACTTCCAGCTCCAAAAAATTGTCGGTCTAGAGGCAAGAGCTTCGGAGCTAAGAGGTGGCGTCGCTTACGTCTCTCTTACGTCGAGGCGTGCAGGAAACTAAACCCACCTCCCCTGAACATGGGTCGACTGTCATGCCTGCCTACAAGCAGTAGTGCTTATAATCACACTTTATAAAGTCAGGCAACACTAACCAGGCTTCGTGTGATTCTGTTTATTTGTACCTTACTTTGACCATCCGTTCACTGTTATTGATCATTGTGGAGAGAGGCAGACGTTTTGTTTTGTATTATAGCAGCTATCGGATGGATCAATACATGGGACTGCACAGGTTGTCGTGTCCGACTATCACAAGTAGAATCATAATAAAAATACGCCGGTAAAATGTGCCTGTAGAAAACGGTTTATGCCACAATAGGATAGCAATAGCAAGTAGTCAGTTTGGCTTCGGTTGCTATGCTAACATCACCCATTTTATACCAGAGAAACTTTCATAACAGCGTTGTGATACCAAACAGCGTCAATTCAGACTGACACACATTCACTTAGGCTAAGGGGAACTGGGGATATGTATCAGCTGCTTGTGTGAGTCGGACAGTGAATACTTTAGAGCGGCCGCTGCAGTGTGAGCTAACCGGGAGCTAACGGAGGAGAATAAACTCCCGTAGAAGAGCAGCCAACACTGCAGCGGTCGGTAAATGCCGCAGAAACACATTAATAAACAATGAACCACGGCACTCTGGAGGCTGAGCAAAGTATAAGGTTGGAGAAGTCGTTATTCAATTTATTCTGGCTTCGTGTGATTAAAAGCAACACGATCATCGACCCGACGCAGTTCCCCGTTGTTGTGAGCGCCGTAATGCCGTTGGGGAGCAAATCAGCGATGTAAACGGTGACGTCATGACGCAGCAGCGGCAGCACCAGTCGGGTGCTGGGCGGTGTGAACAGAGCGGGAGCAGAAAAGGGAAACCGGAGCTGAACCAGAAAAGCTCTAGCTCGGAGCTAGAAAGGGAAAAGCGCTGGTGTGAAAGCCGCAAGAGAGAAGCTCCCAGCATTGGGCCACCTCCAGATAAAGCCATGACTTGTAGCTCTGCCTCTTTCAGCTGATTCTTTCCTCATAAAGGTCAAGGACCTGCTTTGATGGGGGTCTCAACATCACAGCAGAAGCAAACGTTTTCATTTCCCAGGGTCAGGAGGTCATGGACCAAAAGTCTTATTTGGATCTCAGACTGAAACTGTTTAATAAGTCCTGCCTCTAATCCATAAATGAGAGCCAGAGTTCAAATCCCCTGTGTGGCTTTGTCTTTGCTCATCCCTGTGTCTGCTTTACGAAGGTCCAAATGAACAGCAAATAGCCACTAGGGAGAGCTGGGAAGTCTTGGCAGCTCTGCGTGTCAAAACTGAAGAAGCTCTGTGGGATGATGGCAGAGCTGTGTGGCAGCAGCTGGCAGAGGAGCAACTATTTCTAACCCAGGCCTGAGTCTCTTACACGGGCCACAGGGGTCCGCTGCTGTGCTGAGGGGCGGCTCTGATACCTTTGCTGCTGTTCCATAATCCCTTCAGTGCTTGCTTTGCTGCTTTCTTTGCTGTAATCCTCCTGCCTGAATAAAGAGAGAACAGACGAGGAGGAGGGGCTACAGCGTCTCCGTCAGACGGGACGTCCCCCCTATCCCTCTCTTAGGATCCTTGTCAATCAGCACCATCAGGATCCTCTCCATAAAACACAATTCAATTCTTTTTCTGCACAAAAAATTTATCAAACTTATAGATTTTAATCAAGAAATAAAATGTATGCTTAAAAGCATGCTATGGTCAGATGTTTAAATAGCAAAACATTTGGATCACCATGGTGTGAAAGCAAACATTTCATGATATGTCAAAAACACATCAGCGAAACGGCATCAAACACACGTTACAAATAAGGTCTCTTAAGCACTAGCTCGCCACGTGTGGTCCACCGCTATCTCCTTTCCTTTTCCATTACTCCAGTCCTTACTCAAAGATTGCTTCTGGGGAT